GAAGTGCTTCCTCTTATCACTTAAGATGGCTCTTTGCACTCAACTAATCATTAATTTGCCACCTGAGAATACCACAAAATCCCCCTTTATAAAAAAACGAATGATGAAATCATTCAATGAAATCAAATGATAGGAATGCTATCTTTTATTTTTCTGGGGTCCTGAGCCAGCTAATTAATTAACACAAGGAAAACAGAGGAATGGAGGCATTATTCCAATACAGTACATAAAAAATTAGAACATTTCAATAAGCTACCAGTACCTTCTCTAGAAAATGTTTCCAGAAAAATCTTTTTTTCGATGTCACGATTGCAATCTTGCCCCTCACTCTGTTGAAGGGGAATTTAACTTTAATAAAATGGATTTTCTTTAGAAGACTTTCTAAATTCACCCTGAAATTAATTCAGGTTGGTTTTTACCCATTGTGGATTCCAGTTAGTGTTTTATAAGTTTTTACTCAGAGGTAGGAAATCTAAAGCTTCTAAGGAATGCAGTAGAGTCTCACTGTCATTACAGTGTGCTGCATGGGTACAAATAGGAGCCACGCTTCATTTAAAGTAAGAATATTCTGTTCACCTTTGGTTTTATTCTCATTTGGCATCAAAGTGACCTGATTCCTGGCTTTGTTAACCAAGTCAAAAGAATGATTCTGCACAATTTCCTCTTTCCTAGCCATGCCTGCTGTGCCCAAACCTATAGACCTGGCAATTGGGCAGTGTCTCCACCAGCTGCCATGTTGGGGTGATTTCCCCCAGGTTTCTAGGGAAATCTAAGCTTCCTAGGAATCACATTGTCATGACTGTGCACTATAAAAATACTAACTACACAGGAGCTGTTTGTTCCCTCCTCCCCACACCTCCGCACTGGCTGAGGAGGTGGCCACAGAGGAGCCTCTTGCATGGTGGGATTTTACAGATATCTTTAGAAGTGTTTTTCAACTCTAAGTCATGAAGATTTGAGCTGCTCTTTCGAAAGTGAAGACATGTCCCGCCTCTCTTGTCTATTTATTCTTACTTCCACGATTTCACCCAAGTTTAAATGCCATCTGGATGTCGATGTCTTCCACATTTACATTTCAGTATTCTCTCCTGAAATCCAGACTTATCCAACTGCCTACACCCCACCTCTTTTTGGGGGCCTAATAGACATCTTAAGCTCAACGTGTTCAAAGTTTGTGATTCCCTTTCCACCCACAGATATGCTTCCCCTAAATCTGCCCCATCTCAGTGGATGGGAGTGTCTTCTAGCCCCAGCTAAAAACCTTAAGGTCATTTTTGACACCTCTTTTCCTCCCATTTCACCCATCTGATTTACCAAGAAATCTCTTGGCTTTACCTTTAAAATAAACCCAAATCATTTGCCACTACCCCTTCCCATTGACGTAGTCATGATCAAAGTCCCATGATTTGGATGGCTGCCTTCGTTTCTCACTTTCCCCCTTGATTCTCTGAAGTCTATCTGCAGCCAAGTAACCAGAGTGCTCCTTCTTTCAGCAGATCATGTCCCTTGGCTTGAAGTCAGACTGGCTTCTAGTTACAACATGGCCTCCAAGAGGAAGACTTGGGGACGACTGAACCCGTCTGAAAGCACTCTCTAAGCCTTTTCTGGTTACTGTATATGCCCATAATGACAGTGCCACTGTTGTGCCTCTAGGTGACACTGATTTCCATTGGAGGTCCCATGCCAAGGGAAACACAGGAATTGCAGAAAAGTTGGGTGGGGATGACCCTGAACATGAGCCACCATGTTAGTTGTGTGATTAGTTTATGTCCCTTCCGAGTGGAACAAATACAAAAAGCAAAAAAAAAGGCTCTTCAAAATGTAATGCTGACAAATTTCATGTAATGTCAACGTATCAGGATTAAAACTAGTTTTAAGACCTCAGAGCTAACTTTTCTTGTTCTGTAGGGAGGAAGCACGATAAAGGAAATGACCTAGGACCCAAAATCCTTGCTCTCTAGCGTGGAAGTGTAGGCTGTTGGTCATTAAGTGTGTGCTTGCTCCTCACCCCCATCTCCATGGGTGGGTTTTGATTTTGGGCTTGGCCACGTGGCTTGTGTTGGCCGGTGGAAAGTGAGCAGAGGTCTTAGGTCACATGACGTGTTTCTGACCTCCACCAGGAGACTAGGGCTCCTGGTCCTGGACGAACTCGAGCTGTGTGGAGTGAGCTGCCTCAGCTGACCCCTGGAGCTCTGGCTGGAGACCCCGTTACCCCGACTGACCCTAAGTGCAGCAGGGAAGAGTCAGCGCTTACTGTTGAGTGCCCACTTGGTGGCATCCCTGGGCTCATCCGTAAGCTGGCGTAAGCAACCGGACCCACTTTGGAGGACTTGGTGAGCATGAGCCGAGGTGCTGCATGTAAGCATGGAGCCTGGAGTGTGAACATTGCTCAGAGAGCGTCCCTCCATATTCCTGATGCCCATCTTGTCATACAGTAGGCACTGCATCTAAGCAATCCGGGGAAATTGGAGCTCCGCCGGGGTGTAATTCTGGGCAGCAGCAGTGGTGTGGGCTGGTTGGGGGAGTGGGGGTGCTGGGGTCAGGTGAACCGAGTACTGTGGTTGCAGTGGTTGTATGTGTATGTGGGTGGGTGGGTGTTGATTGTTTTCTGTTTCACTTACAAGCGTGGAAGCAGGCTACCCTGACAGGTGCCCCCAAGCAGGTGGCTTTGTCTGCATCAGGACTGGAATTCATGGGCTGATGCCAGCATATCCTCCTGCCTCTTGCAGCGCTTCCAGAGAGATCCCCAGGCTGGTGTCTCTCCCTGTGCCACTGGCTGTGTCCTATTCCAGGTCCCTCACACCCCCTGCTTGTCACCAGGTCAACCCTCCACAGGCCGGTGGCTTCAGGGAGTTTAACCAGATGGAAGAGATCTGTTTCCTGCTGAGCAAATCAAATCCCTTTCGGCCTGTGTCCTGTGCATGGGGTGTGGAGGCCATCCCTTCATATCAGGCCATCATTATCCCTGTGGTGCTGGTCCTTTCAGGTGTGTGACAAAGGTCGCTATGGGGAACACCTACATTATTCCCCCCTGGGGCATCAGAGTACAAAATACCTGTTATTAGGGGACAGAGACAGTCTCCTCTCCCCATGCAGGCAGGGTCTCTTTATCTTGCTTGGATTCCCCTTTCTCTTCCTGTGGCCCTAGCAGGCATGGAGACTGGGGGTGAGATGGCAGAGGGGGTGCTCGTACAGTCTTCTAGGTCTGTCTCCAGAGCACCCTTCCTGCCACTCCTTACTGCTGAGGCCATCATTCCTCCACTCACTTGGGCTTCACCGATGCTGATGGGGTGTGCTTCACCTTGGGCACCAAGGGCTGCTAGAGATGGAGCCCCTCCCTCTGAACTCTCTGCAGTCTCCTTCTGCCTGCAATGCTTTGGCTTCCTCTTTCCCTCCTTTCCTCCTTTCTTCCACCCCTCTCTTTCTCTATCATTCCTCCCCTTTCTCTTTCTATCCTTTCCTTGATCTCCTTCTCCCTCTCTCTCTCCCCTCCTCTCCCCTGTTCCTCTCTCTGTGGCAGCAGCCGCATCACGTCATATTAATCCTACCAGAGCTGGGGGTGAGGTGGGGAGGGGAGAAAAGCCCCCCCCCCCCCCCCGCCGCCAATGATCGACTGCGAGTAGCAATCTGTCAGATTGTGTGTTGGGACTTAATGTGCAATTTCATGGTTTTTCACGGTCTCTAAACTGCAAATTCAAGATTATTTGAAAACATTTTATTTAATTTTCATGCTTTTTTAATCAAAAAAAGTTAAAAGAATAATAATCTTTTATGGGCAGTTATAAATGTGCTATTTACAAGCAAGACGGAAATATCTCCCTTAGCTGAGCAATCTAAGTGTGTGCTTAGAGAGGACTCCACCAGCATACTGATGAGGGTGGCCGCAATGTGTTTAGAGACAACTTAATTCATTCTTCTAGATGATGTCTGTCTAGTGGGGTGATTCTCCAGGCTCATCCATCACCCCAGCAGCACCTCTGTCTCCTCACACAGGAGGACCTAGTGGTGAGCAGCTTGTGGGTAGGGCTTGCATCTGAGCCATCTTTACCTTCCTGAAGGAAGTGTTTGTTGAATGAATAAATGAGCAAGCGAGGGGCAGAGATCTCTATACTTTTCCTCCAGTCACCCAGGGGAGGCCTGTAAACACTCACTCTGTCTTTCCTGCATCACCTTTGGAGGTAGAAGCAGTGGGCAAAGCTGAGCTCCTGGATCAAGGATGTGCCAGGGAGATGTGGGGCGTTAGAACGTTTGCTTGCTTTTTTTTTCTTTTTCCTTTGGTGGAAATCATTGTTTACTTAGTGATTGATTCAAAACCCTAGAAGGGGAAGACTTTAGGAATCTCACACAACTTTCTCTAAATCCTGCAACTTCTGGGGTTGCTGAGGAGGAGGGCTGCGGTACCTTCATTTTTCTCCTCCTTCAACTTTTCACTGTTCTCTTTTTTCTGCTAAAGAAATCTGGGATGAAGCACTCCAAAAACTCAAGGAAACTGCGCAGAGTCTCTGGATCCATGGGCCACAGAGAACAAAAAAACGATGCCACCTCCTGCCTCCTCCTGGAAGGGGGGCCCAGCCATAAGGAGAAGGAGACTCGGCCCGGCCCAGGGTCTCTGTTAAAGGTTGGACGCAAAGTAGCTGGTGGGTACTTTTGCAATCATACGATTGGCAAAGCTCCATCTGTGGACAGCTGACATGGTGGAGTTAGCCAGCCAGCCATCAGAGTCCCCCAGCTCGTTACCAAGCCACGGGATAACAATGACCACATCATCATAATCGTTATTGCCTGAGACAGGCGTGGCTGACTAAGACACCCCAGGGACTTCTGCTTGAAATGAGCTGCTTCTTGGCCAAACCCCGACTCTCCAGAGTGACTTTGTAACAGAATTAAAGGATCATGAAGCTGAAAGGGGCCCACGGAGATCATCAGTTCTGGCTTCTTGCCTTTCGACAGGGCTGACCTTTATAGAAGAGTTGCTGTAGGGGAAATGGAACCAAACTTACTTTTATATGTTATTCTTGTGATGGTATCTCTGTTGAGCATTCGATTAAGAAATGGGTTTGATGAATCAGAAACCTAAGGGGGGGAAGAGAAGAAAATATGAATGACTGGGTAGCACTTTCCCAGGATAAGCATCACCTCTGTGCATTCTCTTGCCCATTTGTAACGGTTTGGATGTGAGGTGTCCCCCCAAAAGCTCACATGTGAGACAATGCAAGAAGGTTCAGAGGATCAATGATTGGGTATTAAGAGTCTTAATCCAATCAGCGAATTAATCCCCTGATAGGGATTAACCAAGTGGTAACTGAAGTGGTAGAGTGTGGCAGGAGGAGGGGAGATTTGGGGTCATGGCTTTGGGGTATATATTTTGTATCTGGAGAGTAGAAACTCTCTCTCTGTCTCTCTGCTTCCTGATCACCCTGTGAGCTACTTCCCTCTGCCACACTCTTCCACCATGATGTCCTTCCTCACCTCGAGCCCTGAGGAATGGAGCTGGCTGCCTACGGATTGAGACCTCTGAAACCGTGAGCCCCTAAAGAAACCTTTCCCGATCTACAGTTGTTCTGGTTGGGTCTTTCAGCCGCCACAGCAAAAAAAAAAAAAAAAAGCTGACTAAAACACCATTCATACTTACTTAGTGCCCACTATGTATCCAACTCTATGATGGCTGGAAATTCAGAGATCACAGACATAGACCCTATGCTGTAGGAGCCCCCAGTGTAGACAAGAAAGACAGGTGAGTGGGTGAGCAAATGGTTTTCATATGATGTGAGGAGGGCTATGATAGTCTCAGGTGTGATGTTATTAGGGAAAAGGGGTATTAGGCATGCGTGTGTCTGGGAGGATGGGTGGAAGTAAGCAGGTGTTTTGGTGGGAGAGTGTGGAAAAGGGAGAAAGGCAATAAAAACATGGAGGACCTATACATCCATGGATGGGGGCCGTGAGAACCTGACCTGCTCACGGAAGCATTTCAGAATTGTGTTGCTGGTGGAGCGGAGGTTGTGGGGAAGGATGGAGGGCGAGGCCAGGGAGTGGGCAGAGGCTGACACATCAGGCTTTGGAAGTCATGCTAGGACATGAACAGTTTATTCTGTAGGAATGGAACTATCAAAGCATTTTGAGTAGAGAGTACAGAGTGACATGTTAGGAGATAGATATTTATCTAAGCACAGAGTGAGAGGGAAAGAGTATCCAGGATAAAAGTATCAGCAGGTGGAAAAAGCCACTCTAAAAAGTAATATAGAAACTTGATATATCACTGGTAATTACTACACAAATTGAATATCCATAAGTCATACCTTTCAGCCAATCAGTCCCTTCCTTCCCACATTCATCCATCCATCCATCCATCCATCCATCCATCCATCCATCCAGTAAATATTCACCAAGTGCCCATCATGGGTCCCATTTTATGCGTATGCCCTTATAGCTCCAATTCCAGGGAGGAGGAGCTAAACTTCAAGGAGCCCAGAGCTGCCTTTGGTGGACCCACCACGTATGAGTTCCCGTGTGGCTCCGCGTCACCATGAGCGCTGTTTCCTTCCCAGTGCCTTTTCACTCAGCCTCTCCTGAGTGCCCCTGTTCATCCTCCTCCTTTATCTCCTACCTTGCTCAGCTCAGCTCTGCTCTGCAATTTACGCCTCGGCTGCTAATCGGATGCTGTGACACATCAACATTTTAAACCTGATTTATTCTGAGGGTTGGAAAAATTGCAGCAGATGATGATTATTATTAGATAAGCAACAGGTAATTTTGGTTTGGGGAAAGCACAGGCTGTTTATTTTCCCTCCATCTGTCTCTCTTTTCACACAGTTTGCTGGGTGTGTTGTGGGGAGACACACACCCAGGGGAGCTTGACCAGTGATAATGCTCCATGGAGACTAAAGTCCACTCTGAATGGAGAAAAGTCCCTAATTGAACACTGTCGCTCCCTGGAAACTTTAGTGCTAAATTCAACTTCTACTGTGACATAGCCTTTAGCATTTAAAAGGTGGCTTGAAGTCCCCTGCTTGTGCTCAGGCATTCCACTAAGGAAGGAGGGCCAAAAATATGTTGTCATGGCTGAGAAGGAATCCGCCATGTCCCTTAATTGCTGGGGGTCTCAGGCTCCTGGTACCTGGTGAGTCCAGACAGCATTAACATGGAGACTATCCCCTTTTGGGCTGATTAAAAATAATTGAGAAATTTCCAAAGTGCTCACAGATGATTTGTGGGCACTAGTGTGCAGGCGGTGTGGGTGAGAGGATAAAATATGTACTTGGTATAAGTGAGCTTAAGTGGGAAGTTAATGGTGTGTGATTGAGCAGCAATTACAGCCAAATCTCTGTTCCCTGTGGTCGTGGAAAGGATGGGGGATTAGTGGAGGACAGAGATTAAAAAAAAAACTCCACAGATGTACCACTGTTTTCTTTTAGCCAATAACTCCAAGTCTCCAGCTTTTGGGCAGGATGGCAACTTTAGGGTTAAATAATAAAATAGATGTAAAACACATACTACGGTGCCTGGCACTGGGATTCTGCTCTTTCTTATTTCAGGGTTTGTGATGATGTCAAAGACACAGTGCAGGAAGTAGCAGGCTCTGTGCTGGGACCAAGATGACACGAAAAGCCTAAGACAGGGTTCCTTGGCTAAATGCTCCCTTCCTGTCATTGCTAATGGAGGAGTTTGGAGTTTGTGGCCAGGGACCATACCTTATCATGGATGCCCCTGCCCAGTGCACAGCTCTGCCCTGCCCTGACCCAGATGAGGGCAAGGATGTTAGGGGAGGCTTGGCACCTGGGAGATGGGTGGGGAGAATTGCATATTGTACAGGGTCATGCTTTGGGGGAGGAGTGGAGCCCTGGGGTTGCATTACTTGCCATTCTTTTGAGTAATGATGATGATGTCATTGAAAGCTACCACTTCTTGATGGTAATGCCGGGATTTTTTTTCCTTTTCTTTTTCTTTTTTTTTTTTTTTTTTTTTTTTTTAGGAGAGGTCTTACTATTACAGGCATGAGCCACTGCCACTGTACCCAGCTGAATTCTTGGTTTTGATTGATTATCAGATTCCAAGTCCTGATTGGTCCTCTTTCTCAAATAATCTGGCCAATGCCTTCCCAGGGGCTACTACAGGCACTGTTGACTTTTGGGATTGTAACCTACTATAACTTTTTTTTTTTTTTAAATCTATTTATTTTCCTAATTGGAAAGATTTTTTTTTTTTTTAAATTTTAAAAATTTAGTTTTTCTGCTTTACTCTACCTCTGCCAAAATGTTAAAGGGAGTTTTATATAATGAATTAGAATTTGCTTGGTTGGAGATTTTGTACTTTTGCTGCCTGTTAGGGAGATGCCTGAGGCAGGTGCCTCCCCAGAATGTCTGAAAGACAGCAGCAGGAAAGCCAGGAGGAGCTGTTCAGTGCAGAGCCTGCAGAGGAGGCGCATCTCCCTTGTTTCTCAGGAGCAGCAGATTGATGGACAGGTCTTCAGCCCTAGGAGGCATCAGTGGGAAGCCCCTCCCCTTCTGCTATTGCATCCTTTGATTCTACTGCTTTAGGGGGGATCTGAAGCCTGTCCCTGGACCCAGCACGTTTTTTTTTTCTCTCTAGGACAGAAACTGCCTGAACCCTCAGGTCTTGATGCTTGAAATGGAACCCATCATTTTTACATCTTGCTGCAGGGGACTGCATTTTTCATGAATCTTATGGATATTAAAGTCACGAGACCCTGCAGCTTTTCTTAGGCAGGAACATTAATCCATATCACCTCTTTAATATTTCCAACTTCAACAGAGACTGATTTTCTGATTGGGGCAGAGAACGGCCAGAAGAGAAGAATGAAGGAAGGAATGCAAGGCACTTACTTTTATAAATATAGAAACTACCACCAATCCATTTGGACTCTTTGCAGCTTCTGTGACATTTGTATATAACTCATGGTTATAGTGGATAAGCTGCACCTGTCAGGAGGGAAAAACAAGAGTGAGAACAACAATCCAGTGTTAAAAGGTGTGAGAAACAGCATGTGCCCCCCACCCCCATAAAAGTGAACTAACTGCAAAGTAAGTTGAAGAACAATCACAGACAGGCTTTTAATTGAAGGGATTTCAGTGGCATATGTAAGTGTGTGTCCTTGTGAGTAAAATGCACACAAACATGCATAGATACACACATACACCCCATACATATTTGCAAATGTCTTCCGGTGACAAGCATGCTTTTAATAAGCTCAGTACCCATCTGCTCCTGGCTCCCTCCTAGGACAATTCCCCTAAAGTGTGTGTAAAGTGAATTTCCTTATTAGGAATGAAACAGCCCTGTAGGGGCCCACACAATCTCCCGGCTTCACCAACAGCTGCCACTGAGAAAATCTTCCTGGCAGCCTTTGGAAAAGCAAGGACTTGGTAGGTCCCTAGTCAACCAGTGGCTCTGAGAAGAGATTGACCAGTCTGGAGGGTGCAGGGATTCTCATGCAGAGAGGGACAGAAGCTCAACTTCTGATGCACCAACCTTCATAGGTCACCTAGTTGTGCAAAATGTTACCTCCTCGGCCTCAGCAGAAGCCAGCCATTTGCCTGTGGAGCCCTGTGCAGCAGGCCATGTGGGGAGCAAAAGGAGCCCTGGATTCAGGCTGCAGTGAACTAGGCTTTCTCTCTGTTATGTAATTTTTTAAAAGTTGTTTTAAATCTGTGAAACATAGCATATATGTATGTTCAAACCAATGCACCACCAATTCTTAGCCACCTGGTCACGGGACTCCACCGCATTTCTGATTCCATTGCTTCCTCCGAAAACATGAGTGTCTTAGAATTCATCTCAGGGCAGTAAATTTAAAATGTATTTTTTCCCCCAACAGTGTAGAACTACAATTTTTGAAAAAAAAACTTAAAAATATAGAAGTAAGAAGCAGTGAGAGACTCCTCCACCTCTGGCTCATCCCAGCCTGAGCAATACCACTATAAAATTTCGTGTAGACCTTTCAGACACCTTTTAGTGCTTATAAATCATGCTCATGGAAATAGGGCTTAAAAAACAATAGAGAAGGAATCATTTATAATTATGATTCTGAACCTGCTTTTTAAAAATGGAACACTAGTTCCCGGCTGTCTAAGTCAATACATACAGATCTACCTTACTCTCCCTAATGGCTGTTGCTTTTCTGCTGTGTGAACGCCCCATAACGTATTTAACCATTCTCTCACTGGCTTTCAGATTGTTTCCATTTTTTTTTTGTCTCTTATAAACAATGTCACGGCAAGCTCATCATATATCTTTCTGTAATGGTGTTAGCGCTTTCTACAGGCTGATTTGAGAATCTAATAAGGTTGTGCCTGTAAAAGTGATTTGTGACTCTGAAAGTATAAGAGTATTCATTATTGCCATATCCTGAATCACATTAAAAAAAAGGATTGAGGTTTTAGAAGTTGAGAAAGGCAATGATCAAAAAAGGTGCTTTACCTTGAACTTTGGGGGAAAAAAATCTCTCTGATGCAATGGTTTGCAACCTTTGCCATGCACCCAGATCACCTGGGTGTTTTGAAAGCCCTCCGGGGCCTGCCTGCCCGATCCGATTCTGGTTTTATTGATTTGGGGTGCCAAGCAGACACTGGTATTTGTTAAAAGCTCTCTGGTTGTAAGGCAGCTGGAGTTGAGAGCCAGGAGAACATCAATAAGCATCAAGACCCCTCAGGGCCTTCTCAGATGGAGGGTACCTTGAATCTGAGGTTGTCTATACATCCCGAGCCAGTGGAACTCCTCGTGGAGGGAGCACGTGTTACCGCGGCTCTTGAGCTGTCCGTTGGCTTATTTCTTTTTTTCCTTCTTGTGAGTTTTGCCAGTAGAGCCAGATTGTGTCATGGTAGCAACTTGGCTGTTGTCAGAAGGGCCACCATAGGAAGGAGCTGGTGAATGCTCCATCTCTGCAGGACCCTATCAGGCCCATGTTCATTGCCCCTTCTCTTGTTCCCCCACACAACTGGGACTTTTGGCAAGTGGAGACATGTTGCCCTGTGGAAGTGCCAAGGTTCTCATATGTTCAACACCCTTTTCTTTCCAGTGCTGAGAGAGCTTTTTAAGATGAGATCAACACACATGCCACCATCTGCTAAGATCCTCCTGTCTGACCCAAGTGGCCTACAAAGCCACCTGGTTGATGTGCCAGGGCTTCAAGACATGCCTTGAAATTGCAGCAGGCTCGGAACACTAGAGCAGGGGAGAGGAAGGCAGTCCAGGGGAGCAATCCTGTTCCCCAGCTTGCAAGCTAGAAGAAGGCAGGGAGAGGTCTTCCAGGTCACTGGCTGCCCCATGGGATGGGATTCTGCCAAGGGCTGGGGGCTGTTGGAACAGGGCTGATGTGTGTGGGGGTCAGGCTGTGCTCTGCCTCAAGGTCCTGGTAACATATTTAGGATTTTTATTTGAAGTCTCACCTCCTCCTCGTTCCAAGGTAAGTTGCCTAGGATTCTGGTGCTATGAGCTTTGGTTTCTGTTAGCAGTTGGTTGATAGACTGCCTGTTCCATTAGGTTGAACAGATGAAATTGACCTTTTGATCTACAAAAATGATGATTTTATAGAGTGAACATGTTCTTAAAATGAAATTACTTTGAGTGTGGCATCCCCCTGCCCCCACCCAGGTGTTAGAAAGATGACAGGGTACTTTGCTACTCAATGTGTGGTTTGGGGATCAGCGATAGTCACAGTTAGGGCATCTGGGATCTTGTTAGAAATGCAGAATCAGAGCCCCACCCCAGATGTCCTGGATCAACAGTCCTGGATCAATTTGTATTCTAACAGATTCCCAGCGATTGGAAGGGAAATTCAGGTTTGAGAAACACTTATTTAGCATGCGCTGTTGGCAGGTTAGCAGAGCCCTGTTTTGCCTGGCTGTTCACCTCTTCTCCATTTCAGTGTGGCTGGCTTCAGGGGTACATGCATCGTGTATGTTGGAAGGTAGACTGTGTCCATAGGAAGCCTGGCATAAGAATTATCAAAAGGCTTTCAGCAGGGGAATAAAATAATCTGCATAGACCATAAATGGCATCCTGGAGGAGGGAGAGAGAGTAGGAGTGGGGAGGGTATCATTCAGCTGTTGGCCCTTTAAGGCAGAGATGTGCTTAGTTGGATGGATACAGCATGGATACATGGTGACTCCAAGGCCCATAGAGAGTTCCCAGTCCACAGAACCTCTGGGAGCAGCACCAGATGATGCCAGGAAGCAGCTGGCAGTGGCCAGGCTTATTATTCTCACTGCCAGAACACAGTTTGGGCATCAAAAGGAAGAGAGAGAGACCACCTGGGGCTGTACCAGTTCATGCCCTGGCAGCAGAGATTCCCCATGAAACAGCACTGCCTCCCTCGACCTGCCTCCCAGGTCTCTGTCAGTGGCAATTATAGTTCCTACAGTGGTCGTTTTTTGTTCTATGCCCCAACCAGGCACCGTGGTGCTAGTCCAATGTGCTCTCATCACTCCCAGCATGCCTGGGTGTGGGTGGGCCTGGGAAGAGACTCCACAGCTTGTCCCTAGCAGGATGTCCCAAGTAGGACTAAGGGAGCAGCAATGTGTAAATTGTATCCCGCGAGGGACCCAGTGTCAGATTGGCAGGTGGGTTCTGAAAATGATATCTGGCAACTACTTCTTGCCCTTTCAAGATGATGCCTAAGATGTAGTTTAACTGAACTTCAACTCTGGGACTTAGTGTAATCACAGAGTCTGACGTGAAATCAGTAGATGATCAGTAAGTGATTGTTCAACCTTCTGAGCAAGCGAGCCCGGCCACCAAGACCGCGGAACAGCGCAGGAGCTGCGTCTCGGAGCAAATGTTTTGAGAGCTAATGATGACAAGCTAATTAAACACCAAGTCTGACTATTCATTAAAGAGATGCCCTGAGAGCTTCCCTGAGCTTAGTTGGAATTACCATCTGAAAGAGCTAAACCTGGATTCCTGGAAATTATTCTATAATTTTGAATTTTTATTAATTTTAGATGGGAGCCCTCCTAGAGTTTCCAAGCAATGCAAGACAAAGCAATGGTGGTCATAGAGAAAGAAGCGAGACACTACTGGCCTCTTTATGGTGTTCACATATAGCAGGTGCCACCATTCTCTGCCTCTGAGTGACCTGATGTGACCTGTCCTTGTGTGGCATAGCTTGAATCTTATGTTCTCATCTCATTGTATAACCTCTGTCCTTTACAGGGGCCTGGAACCCATTTATTTGTTAAAAAAAAAAAACAACACACCTTCAAGGGCCAACCATAACTATAAGGCCAGTTGGAATAAGATCGATGAAATCCTGGCCCTCCTAGAGAGAGTTTCAGGGAGTAGCAGGTGCTTTGAAGGAAGCAAAACAAGATTTCACTTACAAAGTGAATGTCAGGCATGGAAAGAATGGGGTGCGTGTGTGCAGAAGGGGACCAGTATCTGGTCAAGTAGCTAGTGAAGGCCTCTTTGGGGAGGTGACATTTGAGCTGAGTTCTGATGTTGGACAGGAGCCAGACATGGGAAGATTGAGAGGGGACTCCTTGCTCACAGAGAGCCCCGACAATGCCAAGAGCCTGAGGTGGGGACAGGCAGTGAGACAGGTTGGGGAAGGGCCAAGGTGGCTCAAGATGACCACCTTGGGACTTTGTAGACCATGGCAAGGAGCTTTGATTTTATTTCAAGAGAAATGGGAAGTTGCTGATGTGAAGGAAGAAAACACTTGATCTGAGGTGCATTTTTTAAAAGATCTCTCTGGCTGCTAAGAAGAGCAAAATGGAGGCCAAGGCACCCCTGCCTACCGTTCTTGACCTCTCAGGTCAGCTCGGCCTCACCTTCTCTGGGATGCCTTTCATGAACCACTGACATTGAGTGTCGAGCCCTCTCTGTTTCCCTGGTACTCTTATCTGGGAGGTAAATTTATGATGGTCAACTTTATGTGTCCACTTGACCAGATATCTGGTAAAACGGTATTCCTGGGTGTGCC